TACGACAATATAATTGGTATCAATTTAAAGGTCAACAACTCCTCTTGGTTATGCTATCAACTTCTCGGGTCTATGTCCTTCAGGAGAAAATATATATGTACGCCAAAGAATACAAATTTTGTAATTTTTCACACACAAGTCAGGGTTCAATTGGCCCGCTAAATATTGACCAATCTTTATCAAAACAGGTATGCTTGTTCCTTGGCCCGATCCCCTTCTCCATGTAAAATTTCACGATGTTCGGGCCACAATTGCGGCCTCTGGAGCGACCAGAAAAACCGACTAAAATTTAGTATTTAGTCCATTTCATCCCCTAAATATTAACCGATCTTTACCAAAAACAATAGGGGTCTTCATTGACCGAAACCCATCCTACATGCTAAATTTCGTGAAGATTGGTTCATTACTGTGGCCTGTATCGTGTTTACAAATTATAATAGACACATGTCTAGATCGACTCAGCTAGTCGAGATATGACGATCGGTATACTTATAGGTGGGTCTAGGACCAATATTTCGCCGCGTTACAAACTCTTGGGGCTGCACAAAGCTGTAATACCCTGACAACATAGTTGTGTAGGGTATAAAAACTATGTTAGAGAATTCTCAAAACAAAACCCAAAGTACAACTATCGAATAAACTTCAAACATTTATATGAAAATCTCTGAATCTCTGAAAATTGTCAATATATTTTCTCCGAGGAATTAATCAATCATTTGTAAAATTCAATTAGGAACTAAAAATAACAACGAATGGTTTACAAAAAAAATATTGTTTCATAACATTGTCGGAAAATGCCAAATTTATAAATGATAGAATAAAATTATTGAATAATTTATTTATCTATTTGAAAATTTTCTACTTTTAATTTTCTACTTTTGTCTTAAATAAAATTTAAAGTCTAATATATTTTTTTTAATTATTATTACTAACATCATTCCTATTACCCTTTTTTTTAATTTCAGAATTGATCGAAGTTCAATCGCCATATATCTGAGATTTGGTTGGTCAATTAGAACCAAATTGCTTTTCTGGTGGTTAAGCAAATGTTAACTCTTCATGTGGATAACAATGGTACCAACGGAAATACTGTAAATTTTCTTAAAGTGAGTAGAACACTGTCGAAATATTTTTGCCAAGTTTTTGTATAAGGGCAATATTGCCAATTTTTTAATATTCCATTTTCAAAAAATCATCTTTTTTGTTTTTGTGGCACATCAATGATTTTTGGTACACATATAGAGAAAAATGTTCTGACTCCGAAACCGTTCGCGATCAAATTTTTGGTTGATGCGCGCAAAAGTTATCGAGGTTTTAATTTTGGGCATAAGAAAAAAATCTTAAAATCACGCCGTTTCTTATATTGACCAAAAACGTTGATATATATCTTCCTCCGTAAAATAAGAATATGAATATATTATAATAATCACGATAAAGTTGCACATATTCGCGAAATATGAGAAAAATAAAAAAATATATAGCAGATTACATCAATATTTTCAATATATTAATGACATACACACACCTAAAAAATAATTTAAAAATATCTGCATAATCTAAACACCATGATTAATCAAATGATATCAAAATCATACAAGTCCGTGTAGCGGTTTCTAAATCAAAGTGACAACAAAACAAAATATTGAGGAAAAATATTTGTTTTTGGTTCGAAAAAATAATGTCATCATATTTATTTTTTTAATTGTATACAAGAAATTTCAGAAAAATTTTGGGGTTATTCTGCTATTTTACCCGAATTTCGCCGAAAAATTTACATATATAATAATAATCACTTTTTGTGTATAAGTATACGCTTTGCGGATTATATCAAGACCCTTCCGATAAATCTTAGAATTCTATAAATAGGAATAAATCTTAAAATAAAATAATATTATGAAATATACATTTTAAATTGCGTGTAAATCGCGTAATTCTCAAAATCATTTGATGCGCATGCGGTTCCCAGGAAGTACTGAAGTTTATCTTCCAATCCATATATATTTTGCGAAATTTCATTTGACGGCTAAGATGTGCCACACGTTACATCGAAGTACCCAAAAAATCGTAAAACGCGAATAATTTCTGAAAACTCCATATGCCATAACGCGCATCCGATTTCAGTGTGCACCCTAAAAAATACATCGATCTATACCGATTTCAATGTGGTCCATTAAGAACCATGGATGTGCCAGCTCACACTATTTTTGAGATAAATTGCTTCTAAATCGCGTAATTCTCAAAATCATTTGCGCATGCGGTTCCCAGGAAGTACTGAAGTTTATCTTCCAATCCATATATATTTTGCGAAATTTCATTTGACGGCTAAGAAGTGCCACACGTTACATTGAAGTACCCAAAAAATCGTAAAACGCGAATAATTTCCGAAAACTCTAAATGCCATTAACGCGCATCCGATTTCGGTGTGCACCCTAAAAAATACATCGATCTATACCATTTCAATGTGGTCCATTAAGGACCATGGATGTGCCAGCACAATCTATTTTTGAGATAAATTGCGTACATCTCTCTTTCGGCTGAAGTTTTTAAAGTTCTCTTTTCGAAAAAGATCAAAATCCGTATGAGGTCATTTATTGAAGCGGAAATTATACACAGAAAACGCAAATAAATCCGCGATATTTTCAAAAACATTTTTTGCCAAATTTCGTGTTTTTGGAAGGCCAGTTCCCGCCGTTCTAGTAGATGGATTTTCACGAAGAAGATTTTATATCATCCGAAACGTAAAAAACCTTATTGATCGCGGGTACCCATATCATTCAGTTGACAGATCTAAAAATTTGGCCCGAAAATTAGGTTTTTTAGAAATTTGATCGCCCAAAATTCGCACCTTCGGATGTGTATTACTCTGAAGCTATGCATACTACATACACAAAATACATATCAAATTACGCAGATTCGCGACTACAATAATCTTATAATCGATTTTTATAAATTCCTGTTTGCGTATTAAAGCTAGAAGTAAAATTAAAAAAACACTCAAAATCGAGCATCAAAATGTCAGCATCATTTAAAGGTAGATGCAGTTAAAATTTTGAAAAATGATACATAAGGGGCGTAGTCCCCATTTGGTTGGCTTCTAGTTTTATTTTGACACGAAGACCGTGCAATGAGTGGCTTAGTCACAAATCGATAGAGAACATAAAAAAAAACTGGTTCGCCACAACCTGTTTTTACACATTTTTTTACATTAAAGTAGACACAGCTTCCACCAAAATAAAGTTTGGAGGTCAATATCATGAACAGTTTGCAACGACAGATCAATAAACCCAAAACTATTCACTTTTTTCATATACTTAAGTAGTTCCTGAGTTATAATGGGGTGAACCTCCGCTTCAGCTATGTAAAAAAATTGGCAATATTGCCCATAAATATTACCAATATCTACACACATACCCATACGATGGAGTGTAAAGATATTTCTTATAAGACATTAAATTTTTCTAGATTTGTTTGCCTTGAAGGCGTCTATTTAGTACCCTCTACCAGAAGGTAGTCTTTTCAAATATCTAAAATTAATCCGAACTTGTGATATGACATGGTAAGGTTGACAAATTGGACTGGAATCTTTAATATGCTAAACATAAGATGTAACATTTGTAACTATTTGAAATTTTGTAATATTATGGTCGCTATGATTCAAAAGATAGAAATACGTGCTTGAAGTCTTTCAAATACCGAGTAATCTATAATTTCTACTCAATTGTAAATAATAAATTAAATGCAATTCAGTTGAAAAACGTGCCAGAAAACTCTAAAATACCTAATAATATCGTAAAACATCTATATCGGTACCTACGCAATTGGCGTCTGCGAAACATAACGTTTGAATGTTTTGGGCGGATTATGTTTCGGCAGGATCATTGATCTAAAATACATATTATTCCAGAATATATTATTATACAAAAAAAGGAAAAAGCACCACAAAGAGTAAAGAGATATTATGGCTTCTTAAAAGCCAACAATCGAAAATAGAATATGCAATAAAAAGATGAAGTATCATAGGACATCACCATTTTATCAACCGAAAATGTGATTACAATTGTCTACCGATATCTTGTGATTTAACATCTTTGTTATTTTTTTCCTTTTGAACTACATGGAAGATAAGTTATACTCCAACAGCCCAGCGTCAATTCAAAACCTCAAAAATAGAATCCCGGATTTTATCAAGGATTTTATCAGTCAAAGTCTACAAGCGGCACCTGACATTATAAAGCCAAATAACTTTTGGTAAATGATTTGATGTAGGGTGTATAGAAACTAATTCATGCATTAAGAAGGACATGCAATAAGGTTAGCCTGTACAGAAATATTCCATATGGGTTACTATTTTAGCAATTCAGTATAGTAGGACAGGGTCGACCGTGTGATAACCTACTCAACTACTACTGGAATTTGCCATTTCTTGGAACTAAATCCAGAGTCCCAGCAAAAGTTCGCGATATTTGCATACTCTGAATATGTCGACCCTTTGGTTATTTCATTATATCTGCCATATGTATCCTCTTCAATGTATCTTAGATTAAAGGAAAACAATTCCACTTCCACGGGTAACTTTTCTTCCCCTAAATACTAGCCGATCATTACCAATAATTATCTCTGGCCAGAACCGAACCTGCGAACCTACATACCTGATTTTGTGACGATTGTTTCATAACTGCCGTCAATATTTTGGTTACGAGTTATAATAGACATACAGACAGATAGACATTCCAAGATCGATGCAACTACGATCGGTATCTATACTTGGACCAATATTTTGTTACTTTAAAATCTCTTTGAGCCACCCAAACTTACAATACCCCCACCACGGTTCTGTCGGGTATATATAGATTTACAAAACATTTCTCTGGGTGTAAACACATCCGCATATTCATATATCATTTCATATATATGTATGCTCTGTGAGCACATCTTCTATTTCTCCTCGAAAAAAATAATGCCCAAATCATACTATATGCCATCATATTCACAATACTAACCTGTTACATTTGGCGATGTTGAATTCCAATTCTGCCAGTCATCAATTTCGGTGAAATTCGCATCAAACATTTGACAGCTGCTATACTTCTCTGCACCACGATTGTCCTTTGACCTGTGTGAGTAGATGTGAATGGTGAGTGTGTGTTTGTGAAAGAGGATATTGTAAAATATCAATAGTTGTGTTATAACCATACTGGGTATCCCGTCATGCCGGGGTGTTAGGGTATATGTTTGTGTGTGTGTGAGCGAGTGTTGTGGACCAAGTTTTGCATGTTCGATGATGATGACATTTATATGAAATGCAAATTTGAAAAATGAAATTTTAAACGCAACTCTTGACAATTTATTACAGCTGTAGAGGCAAATTGATAGACATTTGTTGTTTGTCTCTCCCTCTCGATATGTATGTGTGTGTGTCTGTCTGTATACATATGTCCTCGATATTGAGGACTTCCACTTGAAATCCGAGTCAGGCGAACAACGAACGAACGACGAGTAGTAGCGTAAAATGTCACAAAATTGTCAAAAATTACTTATCAAATATTTATCATTCATATTGCGTTTCCCAAAGCATTGCGAACAAACATATTTTTGGGACCTCCATCCACCCACATGCACACATACCAACACACATCCATAGCCTCTATTTAGACATAGACTCAAAAAAAAAATACTCACGTGGGTAATGTTATTCGACGCCACTCATCCAATGTGAAATTTGTTTGTTCTCTTCCCGGCACAGTACACCAATGATCGGGTATATTCAAAGCTAAAATAATATTCATATAGCACATGGAACCGGCCATCGATAGGCCCATAACAAATATTATATTATATACCAATTGGAATCGGCCATGATTCCCAGCCTTTTCCATAATGGCTTGAAAAGGATCAACTTCCTCTTCGCTGGGTTCACTAACATGTGAGTGTTCCGCCACAGATCCATTACGTTTTTCTCTCGACACCTCTGCAGATTTCTCCATTTTGACGATTCAAATCCTAAATTTATCCAAGCGCACAACGAACAGTAAATCTAACGAAAGATAGAAAACAAATGACAACAAATTATTATTTTACATTATATTTTGTAGCGTCAAAAAAATTAATCTCTTATCTAAAGCTGGCTGTCGATTGTCGTCGCCGTTCGAGTTTTATTAGGAGCAGATTATTATTACTTGCAAACCTCCATTATTTGCTCACCCTGATTTTGTACCCACTTTATTGGGGGCCTATTTGTGTGATTTTATACCCTCTTCTTCTAAATTTCAATTTGTCTTTAATTGCCCATCATAACTTCTGATAAGAAGTCAATTTTTTGAGTGGAATTTTTAGAAAATAAAAGAAAAGCACATTGAAATCACAAAATTGTATGATGAAATTCGTAATTCACGAGATAACTAATCAATGTTTTTTGTTTTCTGTTATATGTTCGCAGAAAGTGGGTTAATAAAGTCTTCAAATATACAAATTAAGATAAAACGTGTAAATATAATGGGATAGATCCAAAGTTAAGACCCATAATTGTTGAGAAGAACTTTTTGGAAAAAATTGTTTTGGAAGCGAGTGTATTAAAACCAAAATATAAGAATTGTTATTGTAATCTTAACAAATGTTAATTATTATTGTTGTAAATCAACGATATTCTGTCGATCGGACAAACCTAGCACCTGTGGTGGGCCCACATTCCAAATTTTAGGTTTCCATCCCTCTCAGTTACCCAAATCCAAATTTAATGCATTTTCTATTCTATTTTCTATTCGTACACATAAATTCGAATTTCCAAAGTTGTCTCCATAGTTCAATACTACACTAAATTCCAAAATTCAGGATTCAACCAATTCCAAATTGTTTCAAATTTAGCACCATTTAGTAATTCTTATACTCATATATAAGAATTTTTAAAACTACATGAATCCTACATTCTAAAAATAATCTTAATTCCACAAAAGTTCAAACTGTACAAAATTTAGTACTTTTTGTACTCATAAGTAAAAATTTCCAAAGTACCTCAATCCTGATTTTAAATAGTAATCGTAAGTCTAAATTTAAAAACTCCAGCTCTGTGTGTTAATTAAAAGCCAAATTGTATCAGTTTTGTACTTTTCATACCCATATTCCAAACCTACTTTTAAATAGTAATTGTAAGTCCAAATTTAAAAATCTGTCTGTTTACCTAAAGCCAAATTGTACCAGATGTGGTACCATTCTGTACTTTTCGTATTTATATTCCAAACCTCAATTCCATATATTTGGTACCATTTAGTACTTTTCGTACTTATGAGTTCGAATTTCCAACACTGTCTCAATTCTGTACTTTAACAGTAATTTTATTTTCAAACATAAGTTTTCCATTTCTATCCTTCACTCTAATCTAAATTGTACTAAACTTAAAAACGTAGTACATATAACTACGCATTTTCAAAACTACATCCATGTCTCATCCTACACTCCAACCGTAATTTTAATTCCAAATTTTAGGTTTTCGCTCACACAAAACGAATTGTACCATATTTAGTACCATTTAGTGCTTCTCGTATCCATTTTTTAAGTATGTTTTCAATCTCTATCCGTTCGCTTAAATATAAATTGTACTTAATTTAGTACCATTTAGTACACATAAGGACGAATTTTCAAAACTTCCGACATATATCAATCCTGCACTTCAACTGCAATATTTATTAATTAAGAATTTCCTAAACTATGTCAATATTACACTCCAACATAAATTTTAATTCTAAAATTCTGGATTCCAGTTCTATCCGTTCACACATAATCAAGTTGTACCAAATATAGTACCATTTAGTACACATAAGTACTTTGCTTCCATATCTCAATTCTATATTCCAACAGCAACCATTATTCCAAATTTTAGGTTTCCAGCTCTCTCCGTTCACCCAAATCCAAATTGTACTTTTTGTACACATAAATGCAAAATTCCAAAGATGTATCTGTAGCTCAATCTTCAATTGTAATCTTAATTCCAAAATTCAGGTTTTCAGCTCTATCCTTTCAAGCAAAATCCAAATTGTACTAAATTTGGTACCATAGTACTTTTCGTAGCAATCAGTAAGAATTTCCTAAACTACCTCAATATAACACTCCAAAGCTCTATATATTCACCTAAATCTAACTTGCACCACATTTAGTATCATTTATTACTTTTCGTACACATAAGTACGATTTTTTAAAGCTACCTCAATCCTGTACTACAATAGTAGTCCTAATTCCGATTTTCAGGCTTCCATCTCTATACACTCATTTAAACGCAAATATAGTACTAAATTTAGTACCATTTTGTACTTTTTATATAAATATGTACTAATTTCATAAACCATTTCCATACATCAACACCACTTTCCAACCTTTATTCCATATAAGATTTCAAGATTCTAGCTATATATATGTTTAATATATATACAATTAGAACTAAATTCAGTAAAGTTTAGTACTTTTCGTACACTTTTAGGTCGAATTTTCAAAAACCCTTTTGAACATCTTTCTACCTTTCAATCAGTGACCCACATTCCAAATTCTAGCTCTTCCCGTTCGCCTAATACAGAGGGTACCATATCTGATACATTTCAGTACATTTCGTACCCTTCTAGTTCGAATTTCCAAAGACCCAATTTCCAAAAGCCTTATCTCACGCCTACATTTCAAGCTTCTAGCTTCAGCCGTTTCGTCTGGCCGATGATCTGTCAGTCAGTCACTCACTCACTAAGTTCTTTTATATATATATAGATAGATGAGGGTTCCGCTTTTTCCACTTATGTGTCTGTTAAGATATGAACAAAGTACAAGTATTGTGGTCGAAACCGTAGCCGATTTTTGTAATTAAGCATTATGTGTTGTCAGAAAATAAAATACCTTCTAGTAAAATATATTTATTTATTATATTTTTTTTAGTTTATGCCTCATATTTGGACACTTTTTAAGCTTAATTTTTTTTTGGTTCTTACTGGGTAGAAAAACTTTTCAATCATAAAAATTTGTCCGCATTTTCGGTTAGCCATCATATAACGGTGCCTTCAAAATTTCAGTATTTTGGGGTGGAATCAAATTTTCCTACCACAAATTACCAACTGTGGTCTATTCTTTTGATAGCCCCCAACTTTCGGTATTTTGGGCAGATTTTTCAACCAAATTGAATAGAATTTTGTTCCTTAGATTGTTCTTGGGTGTAACACCTCCATACCGCAACTTACCAACTGACAAAAAGCTTAACAAATGACGTGGTGGTGGAGTCAATTGGCTAAAATTTAAGGCAGTTGGCTTCATATCTTTGTTTGCGGCTTATAGACCCATAGGTACTTTTGAGAATAATCATAGAATCACTTTCGGAGTCGTTTTATGCATATCCGTCTGTCCATATGTTTCTGTGAACAAAATACAGGTCACATTTCTGAACCAAATTGGATTAGATTTGGTACAACTCATTTATTTGGCCCAAGGACGAACCATTGACACCAAATTTTATATAGAGCACGAAATTGAGTCTAGATTGCCGTGTTTTTTATACCCTTCGCCACACTTTGGTACATGGTGTTATGTTTTTGTGCATATGTTTGTAACAGGCAAAAGGAAACGAGATAGACACATGGTTTGTTTTTAAAATATGCATAGAAACACTTTCTGAGTCAATTTTTTGCATGTCCGTCTGTAGATGTTAAATTGTAAACAAAGTACTGGTCGCATTTACGATCCTATTTGGATGAAATTTGGCACAAGTTACATATTTGGCCCCAGGGACGAACCCTATTGAAATTGAAGAAAATCGTATATAGTTTCGTCCTATTTAACGTAAAAGGGGCACCAAAGTTCCTATATATCTTCCGATTTGTACGACATTTGACATAGGGTACTGAATTAGGTCCATAATGATGTGTGCTAACTTTCGTGAAAATCGGTTGAGATTTATATATAAGTCCCATATATAGTTTTGTCCGATTTTATGTTAATGGTTCACCAAAGCCCCTATATATATTTTGATTTGTACGAAATTTTGCATAGTGCACTGAATTGAGTTTAGAAAGATGTGTGTCAACTTTCGAGAAAATCGTTTCTGAATCGATTTATGCATGTCCGTCCGTCTGTAGATGTTAAATTGTAAACAAAGTACTGGTCGCATTTACGATCCTATTTGGATGAAATTTGGCACAAGTGACTTACTTGGCCCAAGGATGAATCCTATTGAAATGGAAGAAAACCGGTTCAGATTTAGATATAAATGTTTTCGTCCGATTTAAGGTAAATGGGGCACCACGATTTTCTCGAAATTTGGCATAGCGTACCTAATTGAGTCTAGAATGACGTGTGCCAAGTTTAGAGAAAATCGGGTCAGATTTATATATTGCTATCATATATATTTTAGCCTGATTTAAGGTAAATGGGGCTGCAAAGTTCCTATATATCTTACACGAATTTTACCATGGGGTACTGAATTAGGTCCAGAATGATGTGTGCTAAGGTTCGTGAAAATCGGTTCAGATTTACATATAGCTCATATATATACTTTCGTCCGATTTTAAATAAATGGTGCACTAATTACCCATAGCTCGGCCGATTGACACAACGTACTGAAATTAATATAAATTAATCTCTGGCAAGTTTCCTGGAAATCGGTTTAAATTAAGACATATCATAGCTTCCATATATAATTTCGACCTATTCATGTTGATTGTACACCAAATAATCAATGAGTGCCTGATTGATATTACATCTTAAACAGTAAAGCATACCCAATAGCGTGTGTTAAGTTTGCTTCAAATCTATTTACAAAATTTAGAATAGTTTGCATGTGTTGGGATTGATGTTAGTCGGTATACTTATGGATAAAGATCGCATATTTGAGTTCGTTAAATTTTATGTCAATGTTTCTTCGGCGACGTCTGTTAGGATACATATGTAGAATATACCCAAAGTGGTGAGTGGTATCATATAGTCGGCCCTGTTCGACTTTACAACTTTCTTTCAGATGTAGATA